TCCCTCACTTGCTCACTTCTTGACTCTGCTTGTACTGTGATCTCTATATATATATATATACCTGCATGCTTACACTTGCTAGGTTGTGATCACTGTACCTCTTGTTATTTTATCAAACTGCATGTGAACTGGTCTTGTGACCTCTTGCTTGTGCTCGGAATTTGTGTGGTTTCCTTGAGATCCACCCTGAGCTGTGCTTTGCTTTGCTTTTGACTGGTCTTGTGACCATCTGGTTGTCTCCCACTTAGCCTATGGGGGTGTGTCAAACATTATACATGTTCCTATTGTGTAGGCTATAGTGGGTTTAGCCTTAGGGGGTACAACATTGCTAGGGTTTCCTACTTGTATCACCCTGCTGCCTAGTTTCACACATTCTCGTTCAGTTCAACATTCTATCACAGCCGCCCCTGGAGCAGCCCGTGCCTGCAGCAGCCGCCCCAGGGTCCGCGCGAGCCGCCCCTGCAGCAGCCCGCGGCCCGTCCCTGCAGCCCGTCCCGTCCCCCTCCCCCCCCCCCCCCCGTGCTGCCCATTGCTCCCATTCCGCCGTGCGTTCCGCGGTGGTGGGGGTGTGGGGTGGCGAGCATGGGGGTGCGAGGTGTGGGTGCTCCCCTTCCCTTTCCCCTCCTCCTTTTTCGTCTCCCACTGCTGCAGCTGCTGCTGAGGGGGGTGGAGGTGTGGGAGCCGCGGGGAGTGGAGCTAGGGGGGTGATGTGGGAGTGGAGCTAGGGGTGCAGCAGGGGGTGTGTGGTGGGGGGTGTGGGACAGTTGGGGGAGGTTGAGTGGAGGCAGCCGTCTTGTCGTCCGCAGCGCCTGTAGTCCGGAGCCGTCGCGCTCTAGTAGCTCAGCGAGCCTGCTGCGCCAGTCGCCCGTGGGTCCGTTGCTCCTGCCGCTCGTCGTAGCCGCAGAGCTTGTTACTCCTGTAGTCCGGAGCCGTCGTGCTCTCGGTAGCCACTGTGCCAGCTGCTGCTCCTGTTGCCCGTGTGTCTGCAGCTTCAGTCGTCGCCTCCCATCTTCTCTCCTCCCACAGTCCCTCCTCCTCCTCACTTGCCTTCTGTGACTGCCTCTAGCTTTGCTCATAATTGTGAACTATTGCACTGCCTGCTCATTGTGCTGATTACACCCCACTTTGGCTATGGGGGTGTGTCAGAGTATGTTATTTGTGTAGCCTGCAGTGGGGTACTCAATAGTGAGTACAGCCCCTTAGGGTTTGCTATTTGTATCCTGCTGCTTGCTAGTCCAATCATTCCTTTCTCAATTCTGTTCGTGCACACAACTCTCGATCGTACTTGGCGCCTCCTTTCTAGTCTTACCTTGGCCTAGGCTACTAAGCCTAGGCCCGTCTGCTAGTATGTTTGACACTCTTCACGCATTCGTCACGATTGATCATCTGGACATCGAACCAATCAGAGCATGACACTTGGCCTCGTAGTCCTTGAATTGATGGTTCGAGAGCATTCAACCGATTTCCATGTCCCGTCACAAACCCCGTCATCGGAGTATCCAACATTGGCCAAGTGTTCCTGTTATGCTCGTTGCATGCTTGTCAATCAGAGTTAGCAGTTATGCTCGTCCGTCACAACCTCCACCTCCCAAAGCTCAGTATATCTACAGGGCATAATTCCGTGAAGGCATTCAGCCAACACTCGATTTTCATGCGCTTGCAGACTCCACAATATGCCGAGAATCGGAACCCGGAAAAGCAGTCGTCTTAGTGCGGCGAAAACTAGTCATGGTGCGGTCACAGCGACGGCGTCTATGGTAAACGAGCAGCAGCCGACACAACACCAGGACAACGGCCCTGATGTGCAACCATTTGGGAACGGAGGACCGGTGGTGACAGACATGGCCGCGGAACTGCGGAAGCTCGGTGCCCGCCTCGGAGCTGTTGAAGCAGACATGGCGAATGTGAAGCACGTTGTTGGGAGGACTCACCACATATGCGACGGGATGGCCTCAACGGTTACGGCCATATTCGGCGACATTAAACAGTCAGTGGGTGGATCGACCATATCGCGTGACGTTCCGGTTCCTTCTGAAAACCGTGCTGGTGACGCCGTTGTTGAGACTCCACGGACAGTTCGCCGCACCAACAATCCGAGTTCCAAATCGGTGCGCAAAGAGATTAAGTCCGACTACGTGGGCGTCGCACAGAGGCCGTGGAGCGGCCGATGGGTTGCAAGACTTGTGTGCGTTCCGGCGAAAAACTGGCATCTGGTCATCGGCAGTCAGTTGACTCTGGAGTGTTGTCATCGTCGTCCACGCCAGCATCTGCCTGCACCCCCTCTGCCCTGGCAGGTGCATCCGCATCCTCTGCATCTGCCTCCTCTGCATCTGCATCCTCCTCATCGTCCTCTTCAGCATCGGCCCCTGTGTTAACCCCGGGGTTGGCAGTGCCGACATCTGGCCACGGGTGATCCAAAGAGACCAGGACCAATGCCTGGCAGGTGTTTCCCCTCTTGGGTTCCTCTCCATCCTCATCCGGGTTTCCGTTCGATCCAGTTGCACGTGGCAGGTCCGTACGGATGGAGCTGGGGATGTAACCTGTCCTTACACGTCTCAGGATGCGTGCATAATCGAAAGGTCGTGCAGTTGCATGTGTCGACCCAGACGGACGAGCTGGCGGCGAGTTGGTGGCAGGGGACTCGGCCGGCTGAGCCATAGGGTCAGCGGTGCTTTCCGTCGGTGCAGGCTCTGGTTCGGTCGGTGTGGCTCCCGCCGCGCTGGCGTCTCCCGCACGTGAAGTAGTGCCGCGACCCATGGCGGCACGTGCTGCTTCATGACCCTGGTGACGATTCTCGGCTGCTTGTTGACGTGCCTCAGCTGCTGTTGTGGGAGCTGGACGTTGCTGCTCACTTGCATCTACAGGTGAGGGGCCGAGATCGGCTTCTCAATGCCGAGGAGATAATTAGCCATTGGTGCAAAGTCACGCCGAGAGGCCGCCACCAAAGCGTCCCATTTGTCTTCAAGCCTGCACTTCACAAGACGCCACTAGAACAGAGCAGCTGCTTCTCCGAACTTGACAACATTCTGGTGAAGATGCCATGCACAGAAGTAATGGGGTATGCCAAGCGGGAGAACATCTCGTGCAGCCGGAATCAAACCCTTGTCGCGGTCGCTGATGATGGATGCGTTGTCATAGTGCGGCCACTCCGGGAAGCTCGTTAAAAAGTTCCGCGGAAACCAGCTCCACGAATCTTTGTTCTCTCCTTCGACCAAAGCCCACGCCAGCATTGTAATCTTCTGGTTGCCGTCCAGTATTACGGCAATCAGAAGGGTTGCGCACTGAGCACTGATGAGGAACGTTCCGTCCATTGCAACAACGGGCCGGCAAAAACCAAGCGCACCGCGAGAAGCGGACGGCTGTATGTACACGCGGTTGAAACAGCCGTCGACCGTCTGAATCAAGAAGTTTCCATCCGGGTCTATCTCACGGAACCTTTCAGCCAACGCGGGGAGCAACCTGAACGACTCTTGCCAATCCCCGTACATCTCCTTTTGGATTGCTTCGCGCAGCCGCCATGCCTGCTTGTAACTGATCTGGAACTTGCTGTGGGACGTGAGAATCTGCTGCAAATTTTTCGCCGAAATAAACGGTGCGCCGCGAACAAGGTTGCCCCAAAGTCGCTTCACGACCTTCACGCTGTTGGCGATGGCGTTTGCTCCCTGCTCTCGCTTGTACTTCTTGCAGACGTGTGCTTCAGGAGGGGAGAGGGATGTCACCATCCAGAAGCCGCCATGAACAATCCTGCTGTAACTACACTCCCAAGGGCAAATTGGCTTATCTCCATACATGGCCGTTTTGCATTGCAGAATCACGTGCGCGTCCGCCACCTCCACAGTCGCGAATCCAAAACGGTGATGCAACGCGTGGGCCCTCACAGCCTTGAGGGCCTTATCCCTCGAGGAGTAGACACCACCTTGCCTCAATGGGGCATTATTCTTAGGAGCTTTTGGTCGGCCACTGGGTACGGGGGGAACGTTCCTCATTGCCTCTAGAATGTTATTCGCAATCCGCTCGGCGCGTTCCCTGGGTTCCGACATGGCAGCTATTGAGGAGTAAAACGACAGTGGCGCAAGTAATGGCTGAGCTTGGTACTTACGGGTAGAATAGACCACTTAGAAAGGGCCACCAAATGGGCCAGTGCATTGAAGACGACCGTTACACAACTGTGAGTAGATGACTGAACAACCATGATGGCCTCGTTATTTTCGCGCAAATGTGATTTCAAACGCGGGAAATTCAGTGCGAACGAATCGATGCGATGTGGACCTCCAGCACTGCTTCATGGGCCAGTCGCCACCCCCGTACGGGCGGGAGTGGAATTTCTGTCCATGAAAACTGTACGCGCGCAAACATCTGCGATCTGAGCCGTTCGAGCTGTTAGACAGGCCATCCGCGTGCTTGTTACGGGCCACACAGATCACGTTAGTGGCGGGAAAACTGCGCGCCCGTCAAGGTCAAGTACTGTGTTTCTACGGTTGAGGGAAAATATCAGCGCGAAATGATTGTTTGCACTGTTCCGAACGTGTTTCCTGGGTGGCGTAATGATTATTCAGGGAAGTCAGCTGTATTTCTCGCCTGGTGCAGAAACCGTCACTCATCGAAAAACAAGTAAAAACCTACAAAATGAGTATTGATGGCGAAAACTGACCGCGGGAATCGGGCGCGATCGCGTGGCAGGAGGCCTGTAAAAACCACTGCCCGTTGGAATTGAAGAAAAGAAAGCACGGCGGCGGGTGGAGCGAAGAGCCCAGCGTTCATCCACGACTTATGCTTCGGCATCACATTCGGTGAGCGCCGCTTGCCGCCTCAGCAACCCCAGCTGTCTCAGCGGGCCAGCTGCGAGTCTCAAGTGTGGCAGCCATCACACGCACACTTGGCAACTGCTCAAGTGCGGTGGGCACACACACTCAGGCGCCAGCAGCAGCCTCGCTCGGCGTCATTTTCTTCCAAATGTTGGGTCCACACTTCACCTCTCCTCTCACACCTCTCCAGCCCATATGACCTCTACATCAATTCGGGGCGTCGTTGAGAAGTCTCTGTTGTCGTACGGCGGAAAAACATCAGTGCGCATGTTGCATGTCGTCATGTCTACCCGATCGCAGCAGTGCGAGTTTGGTCGCCACCCTTCTCCTTTTTTCCCACTCTCCCCTTCTCCCCCTCTCCTCTTTTCCCGTTCTCCGGTTCTCATTCTCCCGCCTTCTTTCCCTCTCCCCTTCTCCCCCTACCACAGGAGCGGCAGCAGCAGTGGCGGGCGTGGCGTGGTTTCTGCTCACCAAGAGCGCGGAAGCCCTGCGATTCATTCCGCCTTACACCTCCCCCTTCCCCCTTCGCTTCCCCACTTGTCTTTTCCCTCACCACAGGGGCGGCAGCAGCAGTGGCGGGAGTGGCATGGCTTCTGATCACCAAGAGCGCGGACGCGCTGAGGCTGACAGCGCTGTTTGGCGCCACCATTGCGCTGGCCGGGGTGGGCAGCCTGAGGGCGTGGCGCAAGGGGCAGTCCAGCACACCGTACATCCTCGGGCAAGCAGGTGCGCACTCATCCGGTCCTACATCCTCGGGCAAGCAGGCGCGTGCAGGGAAACGTGGAAAGGCGTGAAAGGTGTGTGGAGGGGCCGTGAGGAGGTACCACCATTGCGCTGGGAGGGGCGTGGGCAGCCTGAGGGCGTGGCGCAAGGGGTAGTCCAGCATACCGTACATTTTCGGGCAAGGAGGTGCGTGCCCACCCATGCCCATCCGTCCGTACACATGCATGTTTATGCCCATGCCTGCACATTCATACCCACCCATACACACGCATGCACGTGAATACCCACCCATACACTCCATCCACCAACGCACACTCAGAAACGACCACACTCTCCCATCATCTCCCATCCTCTCCCATACGCACCCCCCTCTCCCCCCCCCACCCCTTACTTTCAACCCTCGCCCCACCGCGTAGCCCACCATCGTCCACACATTGTCACCTCATCTTCAACTTCCCTTCCCACCGTCCCCCATCCACACCACCCCTGTGCAGTGCTCGCTGCTGTCTTGGCATACCAGGCATTCGTGCGCCTGCAAGTGGTGAGCTGGATCAATAAGGACTTTAGACAGCACTTTCAATATCACTTTCAATCTCTTGCCAGAGTCCTTCAAACAGCCTCCACTGTGTGGGCTGTGTGGGCTATGGCTTTCCATTCATTCACGTGCTTGTGTGTGCGCGACTCTAAATTCCCATGTGTGCACATTCGTGTGTGTAATTCTGATCCTGTGTGCATGCGCGTGCTTGTGTATTGTACGGCAGACGGGTGCTATTTTCCCTTTGGGTCTTGGCGTGGCAGTCAGGGTGCAAAGGATCAGCTTACATCCTTGAAACGTCGCTTCTTTGTCATATCCCTTCATGCAATCGTCGCTTCCAACTGCCTGGAAGTGGCCAGATAATATTTTGTCACCGCGGTCATTGATTTTTTTATTATTATGATTATTACTCCCGGTCGCTGCGTGTTACTAGCAGTGCACACTGCATGTGTGGCATCACACATGCCTGCTCTCCTAAACCCACGGCTCTGCCCGTCGCATCTCATCCCATCACACTGCCATCCTAATCCAGCATCCCTATGTTCCTGATGGGGAGTCTTTCTCCCTGCAGGAAGCAAGTGCCAGTACATGCATCCGATTATCTACCGTGAAAGCGTAAAAAGAAGCCCACTCTAATTCAAGCCCCTGCTCTCCTTCACCTCCACTCCTCCCCCCCTTCCCCGTTTTTCCTTGTCTCGCCCACAGCGCTGCCATGGTGGTGTTCTATATCTATGTGATCCTGGCGGGCGGCAATCCTCCCCCTAAGAAGAAGGCAGCAACTGCTGCTGCTTAGGGATAGTCAGTTTGAGGGGGCAGCACTATCCCCAGTTCCTATGCTCCTCAAACCATGTGAAGCCTCTGCCTCCCCGCGTTGTTTGGATTACCGCTCCTCCAAGTGTTACAGTTGGGTTTGGAGATGCTGCACCTGGGAGGCATCCTAAAGTTGTTTGATGTCACAGGAAGTGGTGACACCAGTGCATACAACCGTGCATTTTGCATGCATGGAATGGAGGTAGAAGATTAGCATATTGAAAGATCAGAGAGTAACTACAAGCTGGCAGGCTTGGTTGTGCAATAGTGGAATTCGAATTCAATTCATTGTGCTTGCAGTGAGTGAGAGCTGTTTTTTTTTTTTTTTTTTTCGGGGATATATACGTTAGCTTGAAAATGGGAGGCGCTGGGTGTAGCTGGAAACCTAGTTGTACAAGTTACCCTAGATCGCGTCGTGCGAGAATTTATCGAGCACCTTCGTCGATTTCGTCGATGTAGGGGGGACAACCGACGAAACGGAGGGACAGAGTAACCAACCAGTTCACGCCCGCAGCAACCAACCAATCCGTCCGCCACCAGCACCAACTCCCTCGCTTCCACCCCACCACACGCTTCCTCTCCCCTCACATACACACTCCCTTGTGCCGTTTACGCAACGCGTTAGCTAGCTTCCCGCCGCGTTCGCTATCTTCCCCTCTCGCAGATAGGCCGGTCCATTCCGTGGCTTCTACCTCCACCACGTATTCCCCCTCCCCCAGTCTGTATCATGTCGGAGTCGGAGCGTAGTCCGCACGTGAGAGTCCCTAAGCGTGCCTCCCGACTGAGTCCCGCGCGCAGTCATTGGCCATGGCGGCTCCAGCAAGTCGCGAACCGCACTCGTGTCCGAGTGCCACTGGAAGTCCTCAGACCCGGACAGTGCAAGGCCTATAAACTAGACGCTCAGCCTCACCACAATCATCACAGCTTCCGTATTCGCTTCCCCGATTCTCCCTTTGTTCGCGCATACCGACCACGGCGCTCCAGCATCAATTCTAGACTGTGCTTCGCTTTGAAACCATCGCATCCGCGTGCAAGCTCAGCTTTTCATTGCTGCTACTTTCTTCCAAGGTTATCACTGAGATCTGACGGAGATCAGAGAACCAAGCCAGTTCCCGATGGCTGCTACTAGTACCAATGCGCGGCTACGCGCAGCGCGCAACCTTCTTCCCCTTCCTCTCGCCTTCCTGCTGCTCCTCGCCGTCACCAGCGCCAGCGCCCTGCGGCCCGTCCTTCGCGCATCCCCCTCCGCCACGCGCGGCAACGCCCGCCGTGCGCTCGCCCGCGCAGACTCCGCCGTGTCCCCGCACAGGGTGGAGCGGCGGAAGCTGTTCAGCTGGGACGGCGTGACGGTCGATCAGATCAAAGCCGGCAGCCTGGGCACGATCGACGGTCCGAATGACGACGAGGTGACGACGAAGATCGTGGATCTATTTATGAACGCAGGGTACAACGTGATGGTCATTCAGAGCGACCACTCCGTGCAGGGCGACCCGGAATCCGTGCAGGTGGAGGTGTGGCACTTCTGGGATAACTCCGAGTTCACCGTCTACTTCAAGCAGGGCGCGTTCTCCGTGGAGAATCTTGGCAATGGCGGGTTCGAGAACTGGGCGTTCGGAGGCGTGTGGGAGCGGTACGGCGCGGATGAGAAGGTCGTCGTGTTCTCTTGAGTGATGAGTTATTGGTCTTAGAGCCTGAGGGTCAGATCAGATCCGACCTAGCGGATGTGACCAGGTGTTGAGCTGATGCTGCTTCATGGTGTGATTGTTGCTGGTCAGTCAGGCTGCCTTATGCCCATTTCACTGGTTTCCAGTGTGCACATGGTGCTTTAATACATTGTTTCTATGGGCTAGTATTCACAAAGTGTCTGTCAGCTTGTACATTCTGGGCTGTGCAAGTATTTCATACGGTACTATAGCATGCTTATGTGGCTCCTTGCGATGTCCAATTGGTTACCACGTCACGCGACGTCTCCTTTGAAATCAAGCCGGTCGATTTGCCGTTTAGCTTTCATTCCGACAGTTAGCTGTCAGAATGAAAGAATCAACACTCGAGACGAGATTGCAAGTGCGCAGCCAATCGACCCTCCCTCCACTCCCCCCAAATGACAGGTGCGGCGCCACATTTGCAAACCATCCCAGCCCCACACTCCCCCTTCCCTGCTTTCCCAATTCCGCTAATGGCCCTTCCTAACCCCCCCCCCCCCCATCCCACCAGATCCCTCCCTTTTCCCCCTTCCCCTCTGGACTTCCCAAATCCCCCCGTCTCCCCAGTATTCCCCAAATTCCCCGATTCCCCCAGCTCTCCTAATCTCAGCGATTGAAGTCCCCGAAGTGCCCAAGGCTCTTTCACAGCCCCGTCGTCCCTATTATTTCTCACGCAAGCAGCCTCATTTTCGACATCCGACAATATTTGGAGGCGCTTGCGCTGCGGTTCGCCACTTTTGACTCGAGAGACGGACGCGTCGGCCACCTCGTGCGACTCGATCCTGGATTGCGCTGGATTGAGTATCCGCGACGTCGCCGAATGGAAGGAGCACGCACACGCGCCGCTATGCCTGAAGCAGCTGCTATGCCAGCTGGGTCAAGGCAAAGCAACTCGCTGTTGCGCCACTATTTAACACCTCCTGCGAAACGCTTAATACCATCCCGTTCCTTACAACTCCAGAAAGCTCGTTTTTCAACCTAGCAGCCCAACACTCTCTGACCTGCATAGTTCGAGCGACATGGCCGTCCGCGTTACAAGCATCCTCTTAGCTGTTCTCTGCCTCGCTACAGCTGCCTCCAGCTCTTCCATTCCTCGGAACTACACCGCTTTTCACCGTGACGGACCGCGTCGCGCTCTCCTGCAGATTCCCGCGTTCGACCCAGCTGCAGCTCTGGGCGCAGCAGCAGGGGCCATGGCTGGCGCCGTCCAATCAGCAGCCGCCACGTTGGCCAGCACAATCGCGCAAAATCCCGGCGGGCTTTTGTTTCACGACGCGGCGGGAATCTGCCTTGATTTCGGCCCTCTGCCCGCCTGCGACTTCTATTTCGATCTGCTCGGTCCGCTCGGGCTGCCCTCGCTGCGCTTCCCCGTCGTCTCCGGCGGCGCGCTCGTGCTCTCCCAGCAGAACGGCGACCGTCCCGTGAGCCTCGCCATCGCCACCGGCGTTTCGCCTGACGCTGGCGAAATCCTTGGCGATAAGAAGGCGAAGAAGGGTGGTTACCAGGTGGAGATTGACGCGACGGGCCCGGCGAAGTATTGCAAGTGCGAGGCGGCGAAGCTGGCGAAAACAGTGGCGCATGCTGGCGATCAGTTCTACGCCACTGGACAGGTGAGTGCTCTCTCTTCTCCATCCCTTTCACCCCTCCACTCTCCCTCTTCAATCCCCCACCACCCTTCCTCTTCCCCCTCACTTGCTCCCATGCAAACTCCTCCCACCTCACCCCTACTCCCCTCTCCCCCCCCCTTTAATCTTCCTTCCTTCCCACCACCACTGCTCCCTTATGATTCCCTCCCTTTACCCCCGAATTACTTCATGATACCCCATCCCCTGATACCCCACCACTGCTCCCTTCCTGATACCCCATCCCCTGTCTTCGCTTCTGCCATCCTTCCCGCTCCCCTTACCGCCTCTGCATCTCCTGCAGGGTCCCTCACGCCAAGAAACGATCCTGCCTGGCTGAGACCATCTCAGAAAAGAAAACAGAATCCAAAAAGTCACAATCTCAACACAACCCGATTTTCTGTTAGACACACAACAGGAATGCACCCTGAAGGCATTCTGGAATGCTCTCCCTGAAAAGCTCCTCCTCCCGCCCCCCTCCACTTCACTCCCCCTCCCCCTTCCCCTTGCAGCCGGCCAAGGTGTATGCACGCACGTTTCAGAAGAACCTGCCAGCGTCGGCCTTCAAGGGGTGCTGTGTGCGCCTGCCACTCACCAGCGTGCAGCTCAAGGCACCCAACGGTGACGTCATCAACCTCAACCCGGGCGACGGCAACAAGCAGTTCCCTGAGCCCCGCCGCTGCCTTCTCTTCCACGTGCTCACCGTGTGATGGTGGTGCAGATAGGTGTTGTTTAGTTTGATTCCCTAGTGTGGTGGAGTGTCAGAAGACAGAGTAGAGTGCAGATGATTTAGCTAATCTTGCCTAGGACTAGTTCTTCTAATCCAAGCTATTATCTTTGTAGTGCTTGTTTAGCCATAGTACATGATGTGACTTTCCTCCAATAAAGAGCTTTGAGGTCTATCAGCGAGTGTGGACCATTTGATGAAATTTGACATATTGAGAAAGCTTGCTTTCTTATTCTTATCAATTGGCATCGTTCTCATTACAAATGGCTTATTACAACATTTGCATCAACGTTGAACACAAGCTAGTGCAATCTAATAACACTAGCTAAGATGTACCCTATCCAAGTGGCATTAGCAAGGCGGTTTACTCTGGGGTGGGTGGTGGGAATGTTGAGTGAGCCGTTTGAAAATCGAGAAACGTGGGTGGAGGGAAATGAACTCCAACCCACGGTTTTTGTAGTTGGAGAAGGGCGTTTAGCGCGCTTCGACGATGCCAATTGTGCAGTACAAGCAGCTTCGCTTTCACAATACACAATTTTAAAAAACACAATGTGTGTTTAAAATTTATAATATTGAGAAAGCTTGCTTTCTTATTCTTATCAATTGGCATCGTTCTCATTACAAATGGGGTCTCTGAGACATGGGCAGCGGGGGCCTCCGGTTGCGTACGAGTGCCTCTGTGTGTTGTGCCGATGACGCGGCATGCGTCGGATCTTGTAGGTGACGGGAGGCTTCGATAAGAGGCTCGACGTATGGTGTAACATACATTTCCTTTGCTGAGTCGCTTCGCCATCTGCCCAGCCGTTTGAAGACCCTGTCTGGCACTCCCGTGTTGGCTGCTACTGTGGCTGCACCTTTTCGGAAAGAATGTGTGCCGAGCTGCAGCTCTCCAAGGCCAACCTTTGCGAAGGCTTCCTTGCACCAGTTCCGGATCGTAGTGTATGAAGGTGGCATTGCCTGGCCCTCGCTGGTTGAAGCGTGGCCGAAGACCCGAATCAATGGTCCCTCTGACCGTGGGCCATAGCCGGCCAGTTGGATGAAGCGTCGGGTGCAGCGCACTGGGCAACTGGGGTCTGCCGTTGCTGCAATGGGTATCCAAGTGCCATGACCAGCCTGATCGGTCTTGGAGTGTGGTATGAGAATCCACATGACCTCGTCGTCGAATTGGATATCTTGCCATTTTATGGCTACTAGGTCAGAATATCGCAGGAATCCTGAGTACATGAGGATGGGGATCAACCCTTTCTGAAACGTCGCGGGATCGTTGGACTGCAAGTAACTCGCGGCCATGTCCCGGACTTGTTGGATCGATACGGGTTCCTTCATACAGTCACGGACTTGGGTGGTGAACGGTCCGGTTGTCGGGCATTTGCTCCCAGTCATGCGATGAGCGAAGCTGACCGCCGAGCACGTCATCTGCACTACGGACAGGGTGGCTTTGTGTCGGATTGCGTGTACCAGGTAGAGCGCGAGGGTCATGTCGGATGCCGGAAGAAATGGGAGGTTCACTTTTGTGCAGAAGGCTCGAAACTTGGCCCAGTATGGTTCGTATGTCCGGATCGTAGAATTGGCGCGAGACTGCGCGAACATGTTAATCATTTGGTCGTGTAACTTTGGGAGCAAATCTGAACACAAGGCGTAGACATTTTGAATTAGTCAAATGCCACTCTCAGTGCAATAATTGGGCTATGCGGTAGTCCCATGCCTGAAAAAGCATTGGAATGGGACCCTGCGTCTAGGCATTGGCTTCCGTGTGTCAGAGGGATGTGCGCGTGGATGTGTGGAGCCCAAGTGCATGGGGAGGGTTGCAAAAGTGGCCACCAGCTTGCGCCTGGCCAGTGCGGAACTATCAGTGTGAGTGATGCATGGGTGCGTTGTGCGTGATGGAGGACGGCTGGGACCAGTTGGGGCGGGGGGAAGGCGAAGTTGTTTTCGGGTGTCCACGCGATCGAGAACGCATCAACTGCGATGGCTTCCGGGTGGGGAATCTTCGTGCAGAAGCGCGGCAGTTGGGTGTTGCGGGCGTTTGCGAAGAGGTCGATGGAGTGGGGCCCCCAACGACGTTCCAAGATGCGGAACCACGGCGTTTTCAGCGCGTAATCGTCGTGGTCGACCATTTTTGAAAGTTCGTCGGCGTGTGTATTGAGATCGCGCGGAATCCATTCGATGATCAAGCGTGTGCCGAGCTCCATGCATGTTCGGATGATGCTCTTGCATGCCGTTGTGAGGTCGGAGCTGTGAGAGCCGCCTTTGCGAAGGATGAAGAATACGCCCTGGTTGTCCACCCGCACGAGAACGTGTTTTTGCTTGATCTTGTTCGCGTATGTTTGGAGCGCCCAAAGGACGCATTCGATCTCCCGTCGCGTGCTGGACGTTCCTCGTAGCGGCTCTGACATGGTTGCGCTAGCTTCTTCGAGGCCGCCCGGAAATGAGGTCAGAGTCACCCCAACCATGAGAGCTGGCATCCACATGGATTACCGCGTCGTAGCTGTTCCTAACGTGAAAAGGTGCGCCGTTGAAACGGTCAAACTCCTCGAGCCAAAATTGGAGCTCCTCTGCTGCAGATGGGGGGATAACCACGCTGCTTTTCCATGACGGTGCTTCGTTGATCACTTGTAAGATGGCGTGGCTGAATGCGCGAGCGGTCGCGCCAAGTGCGACACCCATCGATGCAAGCATGCCAGTGATTCTGGCCACTTGGCGGACCGGGACTGGTCGGCATGCCCTGCTTGCGCTCAGGAGGTTCCGGATGGTTGCATGTAGTGAGGCTCGTCGGTCGGGACCGATGGAGAATCGGCCGGTGTCGGTCTCCAGTTCTACGCCCAGGAATCGGAGATGTTGCGATGGTGATAGTTGTGATTTCTTCGCGTTTATCACAAGGCCTGCCTCTTTAAGGTCCAATATCACCCGCTGGCAAATTGCTTGCGCATCGGCTTTCGACTGGCAGAGAAATAAGATGTCATCCACGTAAGGTACGACTCGGATGCCTTGTTCTCGCCAACGCCGAGCTAGTTGCTTGATGAGCTGTGTGAAGACGAATGGAGCCGTCGCGAGGCCGAATGGTAGTGAACGAAATGCGTATGTGCGCCTATCAAATTCGAAGCCAAGGAACTTCCAGCACGATGGGTGGATGTCGATGTGATGGTAACCAGATTTGAGGTCAATGGAGAACATCCAGTCCCCAACGAGCGCCAGGTCGGCGACACGGTTGAGCCCCTCGTACTTGAACTTGGGGACAATCAAGTTGGCGTTGACTTTCCTCAGATCAAGAATGAGCCTGCATTTGTCCTTTTGCTCGACCACGTTGAGTGGACTTATACACTTCAGCTCCGTTGTGGCCATCGGAACTGCCGCTCCCGTCTCTATGAGTTCTTGGATGGCGGTACGTGTGAATGTGGCATGCGTGTTTGCCCCGACATGATTGCGATCGTGGAAAGGTTGTGGTGGGCCGTGGCTCCATGGCAACCAATAACCCTTGGCGATGACGGAGAGGACGAGGCTGCTAGGGCACCATGAGCTCCACCACACAAAGGTCGCGCGAAGACGACCGCGCATCTGTGTAATAGTTCTGTCTGTAACGGCAAATTCGTACGGGTCGTCGTAGCATGCCGCCTCGCACCGTCGTGCTCCTGTACATTTGAGGCCAAGTGGTGTACGGGTTGAGTATTCCATGTTAAAGCATGAGTGTGCATGTACATGTACGGGCAGCCATTGATCAAATGTGTGAAGAAAATAAAAAACCGAAGGAAATGTCAACGAATGTGTCGGGCGCGAAACGGCGCTTCTTCTTGTCATCGTTTCCTCCTCTTTTTTTTTTTTTTTTTTTTTTTCTTTCTTTCTTTCTTTCTCTCTCTCGCCCCGTCGTGCACTCGGTAGGGTGTGGTTGTGCCTGCCCTTAGTGCATGGGAGCTGATGCCTATGGCCGTGGACACACTTGTCCATTGTGTTTCTCTTATTCTCTCTCGTTCTCTCTCTCTCTCCCTCTCTCTCTCTCTCTCTCTCTCTCTCTCTCTCTCTCTCTCTGCTCCTCCTCTTGATTGTTTCAGAGTCTCTTTGCCAAAAACAGTAGGCTTTTAAGAAGGTAGTTTTTATTAAATCAACCAACACACATAGCAATGCTCTCCTAGCATGCATCACGCCACCACGTGGCCAACTACATGGGACCGAGGGGGTTGTTGTTCCCCTTCCCTATCCTAGGCCCAAAGCCTATTCCTACCCTTCACTAGGGCTGGCCTCTTGCCATCGCAAACCCCTAGGGTTGCCCACGGTTTTCGCACTCAAGAGTGCACCGTGCCTAGCGCTCAAGCGCCTATTCCCATGGCCCGCTCCTACACCACCGGAGCGGGTCATTGGCCGCCATGCCCGTTCCTAGGGCAGGCACTTGCCACGTGGCCCGGCAGGCCACAGCGGAAGCACGAGCCCCGAAACCCGCGGCAATTGGCCGTGGGTGGGGGGCCCCGCTTGGGTAAAAACGGCAACGGCGCGTTGTTTCCGCCGCTGCAGGGGCAGCACGGTCGTAGGGGCGAGCACGGCTGCAGGGGCAGCGCGGTCGCAGGGGCAGCGCACGGGCTGCAAGGGTCGCGACAGTGAGAGCTAGGGGCGCCAGCGCGCTGGCTACTGTGTAGGGCGTGGCGCTACCACTAGGCGGAACGGTGGGCCCATGTAGGAACGGTTCCTACTCTGATAACATGTCAAGAATAGAACTAGGAATGATGGATTGAACTAGGCAAGAGGTGAGTACAAGTAGGGGAAACCTAACCCTAAAGTGTTGTACTCACTAAGGAGTGACCATACTGTAGCCTAGAGATACAATTGTAATCTGACAACGTTTTGCGATGATGTGATAGGCTGTGACGTTGTAGGCCCTGGGAATGTTCTTGGACGTGAGAGGAAGCCTCTTGGAAAGCGCCTCTGCCGCTGTGTTGCTGGGAATGAGGAGGGTGGCGTCAGCAAGTGCTGAGAAATTGTACCTGGAGTTCACTG